CAACAGCGGCAATCGGCACCATGCATCACGATGGTCTTGCGCTGGCTGCACGAATCGGTTATCCACGGCAGCCGTTACGATCCCTGGCCACTGGTTTCTCATTTTGGAGACTTCCTCACCGGGATGTCGGATACTGCTTGAACGGGCACGATCTGCAGAGCAAAATCAGAGTCCAGGAGGAGATCGGTGGCTCAGACCCAACGTCGTAATGGCAGAACAGGAATCGATTTTTCGGGCCGAAGATGAGCCTCGCCGCGGATCTCGACCTCCGCAGTTCCAAGTACGGAATGTACGCAGCAGCCTACATGCCGTTTGGTGTTTATCCAGGAAGTTAGTGCGATGCAGCTGCACAGGCATGGGCTCTGACGTGCAAAGACCAGCGGAGTCACTTCTTCCTCCCGTAGCTGCACAGGCTGAGCCGGCTTGAGTCAAGTAAAAAGTTGGCGTTCAACGACACCAAAGGTTTGAACGAAGTCGAATCCAGTCTGTGGTTGGATTTCTGGAGCACGGCAACCATCGACAAGCGCATCCGAACTAAGCATCCCCAACAAAAAATCCTGCAACTCGATGTGCCCGCCTGCCGTGTAGGTGATATCTCAGTGTGACTGCACAGGGGGCGGGGCGGGGGCGGGAAAACCAAATTCACGATCGGGGGCCAATATACCGATACACCGATCGAGGGGCCCCGGGCGGGCGATCGGCGCAAAACTGCGGACCCGCACGGATGCACCGATGCGATCGGTTCCAAATTGCGGACATACACGGAGTCAGGGGTGATCTGATTTCAAAATCCGGGACGCCCCATGAGTCCAAGGCACCATCCTCTGAATTCAGGGTGACACGAGTTCTGATTGTGCAATCATCTATCAGTTCAAGTCTCCTTTCTCGGAGTTCAGGGTGATAGGAGTTCTGATTTGAAATCAGGGGCGCCCTGTGAGTCAAGGCCCAACCCTCGGGGTTCAGGGTGATAGGAGGTCTGATTTTCAAACCAGCGGCAGCGGCGCTTTATCAAGTCACACGTTGATAAGTTCCCGCAGGGGTTTTGGGAAGCCGGGGTTTACGTGGAATGGGATCTTAGCCCACGCGTGCCAGCGAAAGTCAAGGCAGTGCAAATACATGCCTTTGAAAATGACTTCAGGAACCATGTACAGTAGCCTTGAAACTTCGGGCGTCGCATGTTTGAACTACACGGCTCCTGAATGTCATTCTCAGACTGCTTGGAGTCCTGGCCCCCTTGTGGTGTGGTGTGGTGTGGTTCGGGGTTTGCCCCCGCGGTGTGGCGTGGTTCGGGGTTTGGGTCGCCCTGGGTGTTTCGAAATCGTCATCATCATCATCGTCACCACATGTCATCACCATCGTCATCGTCATCATCATCATCATCATCATCATCATCATCATCGTCATCACCTTTCTGCGGTCAACTGCCGCAGGAAACGGGCCTGACAGGAAGGCGATACGGGTGACAGTTGCATTTTCAATACCCTCGTGGCACAGTCCTGGGTAGAAAGTGTCCACTGTCTCAAGGATCGGGTGTGTTTGCGAGGAGATCCTCGTGACAGTTGATGGTGTTGGAGCCGCCATGTGGGAGAAGTGCGCACAGTCGCATATTTGGACCTGGGCGTGGCGGGGGCGGGGGGGGATACCATGCGGCGGTGGAGTCGGCGAACCGAGAACCGGGATCATATATGCGCTGTCTTGACTTTTGCTGGCAGGCATGGTTCAGAGCGCATTTTTCCTTCCACATAATCCTGGCTTCCCAACTGTCTCGACTTTGGCTGGCAGGCGTGGGTTCAAAGTCGATTTTTCAAGCGAAGTTGGCGGCACCAGACCGAAATCAGCCCGCCCCCAAACCCCCAAAGCAAAGTCCTGTCCTTGAAGCACCTAGAATCCAATCCGCAGGCCTCCCAAACTGGAAAACCTGCAGCAAAGCGCGCGTTTCCTCGGAGTGCAGGGCGATAGGAGTTCAATTAGTTCTTCAGCAGGGAAGGGGAGGGTGATCGGCATATCGGCGAATTTGGCTTTATTTTGAGGGGGGGAGGGCTGGGCGATCGGTGTATGGGCAGGGGAGGGGATCGGCGTATCGGCGCGTATTTGCTCTTTGGAGGGGGAGGGCAGCAGGGCGATCGGTGTATGGGCGTATTTGGCCTTCTTGGGAGTGGAGGGCGATCGGCAAGTATCGGCGTATTTGGCTCCTTAGAGAGCAGCGGGAGGCGATCGGCGTATCGACATATTTGGCTTTGTTTTGCACATGAGGGGGAGGGGAGGGCTGTCGACACATCGGCGTATTTGGCTTTTCCGTGGGTAGGGGGAGGCGATCGGCGTATTTGGCTTTCTCTTTCTTTTGAGGGGAGGGGAGGGTGATCAGGGCACGGGGGAGGCGATCGGCGAACCGGCGGATTGGCCGCCGGGAGGGCGGGAGAGGCGTATCGGCGCATATATCGGCGCATTTCGATGATCTCAGGTGCCTGAGCATGCAGAGACTTAGATTTACATGGCAGCCCGAATGTCAGTCACTACGTCACTACTTTTTCCGAAAATGGCAGCCCGAACAGGTGTTGCCCATTGCTGCGGCTTTTGGCTTCGCTCAGCTGTGCGCCATGAAGGCGGGTTTACAGGACTTGATGTCCATAAGCATCGCGCCAAGCCATGCCAATGCGGCCAAAGCATGCTGATTCTTGCTGTGTCGCGCCAGCTTGTCTCAGGGAAGCGGTGGCTTGGAGTTTGCTTCTGCCGAAACGAAATGTAGCCATTGCGTGGCCTTTTCTCCTTCATAGGATGAGCAGACGGTGCGGAATCTCGGAATGCGTGTGCAGGTTGAAAGCAGCTTTCTCTTCGTCTGCCTTCCTTTGCCATCTTGGATAAGAGGGAAAAATCTTGGATCATCTTGGATCCACAACAGGGTTCGTGGCTCTATGTAAGGGAAGCGGCGAACATCGAGGGTCCCAAAGACTCTTCCGTAGTCCGGGACCCCCAACACCTTCATCATCGGACATAGTAACAGCCATGAGGCACTCGTCAGGGACCAAACGTGCGGCCACTTCAGGCTCTCCGGTTTTACGACGCTGGCAGTCTGAAGGTGATCGCGCAGGCACATGTGCAACACTTGTGCCAAATGATGTTGCCATGAATTGCACAACTTGTCCAAGCCGTCGCCATGCTCCTGCCACTTCAAGGTCAACCTCCCACTAACAGCACTGCTTTCGTGGCTGCTTCTCGATCGACGCACCCTGGCGTGTGAATTGCAAAGTGATCCGGCTTGATGTAGTCAGATCGTCACGGCCTGTGCAGCCTACGAGTGCCTGTGCGACGGTGGAAGGCTATTCCGCACAGAAGTGGTTAGCAGTGGCCTGCGCCTCACGACGGTTCACAGCATAGGGCTCTTCCTGCAGTTTCCATCGGTTTCCTCGGGCCAAACCGCTCTGACAAACAGAAGCTAGTGATTTGCTTCCGCTTGCTTGGAAAGGAAATGCATGTGGCCAGTTTGGGCCAGTGCATCGAATGGCTTCGTCAAGTGCTATAGTACTAGTACTATAGTTATTATACCTACTAGTTGGCGAGCGTCATGGGCGCAAACTTATTCGGCCTTCCAATGACTATGCAACAAGACCTTTGTAAGTTGTATGCATGCTGAATCGATGCTGATTGCTCAAACTTGGAGGCGTCGGGTTCTTGTTGGGGGTTGGAGTGTTGGGTGACACGGAGGTTTGTGGTTTGTCTAGAACTTGCCAAGCAAGCGGCATGTCTGCCTCTTTTTCAGGGTCTGATGTTGGTTACCAACGTGGCCTTCCTGCAGGCTGGTCGGTGCTTGCAGTCTTGCGCACGAGTCACTAGTTATTTTCATTCGTCGTACATGATCGCATGTGCCGATGTCTGCTGTCGGTTTTCACAATCACTTGCTCGAGGTTCGGATGCTTGTACTTCAACCGCCGAGCATTTGGCCTAGCAGCAGTGCAGCAACACTTTCACCCATAGGTCCCATAGGTCATGCTTTGCCGAAACTGTCAGGCTGCAGAGAGGAGCTGTGTGATGACTCGCCATTCAGGACACAGTTCATTCTCTGCATCTCACGACTTGGATGGGAATAGGTCAGTCATCATTATGCCTCACATTGGCGATCAGATGTTGGAGTCGGTGTTGCGGGGAAGATTTAACGGTTAGCTGCATTCAAGCTCATGCTGGATCAGCATGTGTGGTTTCACAAGTGTGCACTACTTTGACAGGATCGCACCCAAAGTTTTGGGCATGTTCTACTTCTTGACCCTCGCCCGCATTTGGTACAATAGTTCAGTGACTTACCGAGGTAGAAGCCGGGTAGGACACGAGGAGACTGGCGTTTTGGATGCGTTGCTACACTCCATAAGGCTTGGAATCGCTGTTTCCTGCTCTGTGCCTGCCTTACATGACGCCAGTAGGCTTGTCCAATTTCATTCGCCGGCTGGCAACTGGCATGGTAGAAGGCTTCGATCTTTGCTGAAAAATTCTTGAAGAAGTGGCCTGAAGAGCGCGACCCCTGGCTTCTTGCAGAGTGCGCGCAGAGTCACGCCGTAGTCTCGCAATGTGGTGCAGGCCGTTCTACATTCTGAAGACGAACCTCATGATAGGGGAACTGATCCTTGCAGTGTTGGGCGTCATCAACAATTTCTCCAAAGAGGCGGCAACGTGGCTTTGTAACCACTTTACAGACACTCTCTCAGTCTTGTTGCTTGTTTGCCGAGAAAGATTTGGAACGTCCGCAAGGCCTCAATACAGGAAAGGTGGGCATTTACCGACTGGCACTTTTTAAGGATGTGACGGCGGGGTAGGGGAGGCCATATTCGGAGGAGAAGTGGGCAGCTTCTGATGCTCATACTGCTGGCTCCCAGCAGGAGGCAATGGAACGTGCCTCCAATTAAGCTCAGACGGTGGCCAGTTCAGCTTAGAGCAGGTGTACAAGTGCGCTGCCCGACGCCGCGGGGTTCTGCTTAAACCTCGGCTTCACCTTGCCGGTCCCAAACTAGAGTTTGCAACGGGCGATTACGTCAATGTGATACTGTCATGCCACCGCAAACTGCCGCACTTCCAGCATCTTCCAACCACCAGGATCCAATTGACAAGGTTGCAGACGGCAGCGTGAGGCCTTTTCAACATCTTCGCTGAAAAGCGTGCGCAGGGACATTGCTTTCCTGCTTAGAACGGGTCAACCTGGACATGCCAGGACGACCCGCCGTCGTCACATCACATGCCCAACGCCAATATCAGCGTGTGTTAGCGTTCAAGAGCCTTCGTTCTACCACGCTTTACAAGCAGCGAAGATGTGGACGGGTGCAGGGTAGGTGGCCGGCTCCAGCTACGCATAGCCACGCTGCAACAGATTTTTGAGAACTGCCATCCGGCTGCTGAAAACGCGTTTTTGTTCTGACTCCTTTGTGCGGTTCTGTTTGTCCTGGGTCAGGACAGTGCAGACGAAAACAACGACTCCTGCTCCTGGGACCAGCCATTTCCCCGGTGAGCTGCATTCAACCCCCAAAATGCTGCACTGATCCCGCCATGCAAGCCCACAAGGTTCCACGACTGGAGGAGACAACTGCCCGTTGTCCTCGTGTGGCGCCCCTCTGAGCAATCTGAGCATCAAGACAAGATCGCAGACCTTGGGAGCTTGAGCGAGACTTGGGCTGCACCGAAAAATGCTGAGGCTTCTTCACGGCTGGATTGCTGGCCTTTTGGTCAAGCGATGTTCCGCCCTGGTGAAGAATGTGTCAAGTTCTTGGACGTGCGCAAAAGCCATTGCGGTCAGCACAAGCGCTCAAATGTTCACGCAGTCGTGAAATGCACTGTGGTGCAGACTGATTGTGAGAGTAAACTGCACGTTCTGACTGCAACACACGGTGAGACGATGTGACAACGCAAGGTCACACATTCTTTCCACTCTTGCAACGCCCGGTTCTTAGAGACAGAGATCAGGCCTTGCTTCTGCAAGCAGCAGCAGCAGCAGCTCATGTCCGTGTTGTGCAGTCATTTTTCAGGTATGGGTATGCGCTGCTTACGCATGCGCTGCCGTTCTCGTGGCCGTTGACTGAGCGCGGAGGTAAAGGTAGAGTGCCGCGGAGCTGAGTGCAAATTACGTTAGGGTTTCGGCTTCGCGACTCGCAGCGAGGCCAGTAACACAGGCCGGCGTGCTGGTGCTTTTGGCAGTGCATCAGCTGCAAATAATAGGTGCTCTTCACTGTCTAAGAGTCTAAGGCGCTCTGAAACAGGATCATAGAACGTCTTGCGCCTCTGAGCACCCATGGGTTCGGCATGCTCCATACCGAGGTGCTGAACTTCGCATCCACTAGCGACCAGCGCAGCCACAAGGAGAATTCTCATAGGCGCTATGCACACTACCAATGCCGAGCAACGCAGAAGCCAAGGAGTCCAGGCGGAAGCGGGTCGAAGCCCCAGCCAGCAGACTGGAAGACGCAAACATGTTCAACCTGGTTGCTGATGCCGTCCCAAGCTCAACGTGCATATGCAGGATGTTGCTGTAAGCTCGCCTGAGGATGTTGGAGCAATGTCGGGCGTTTTAAATTAGCTGCAAAGCACAGGGAATCTCCGCCTCCAACATTCCCATGAAATCCAGCAGCACGAATAGTACAGTACACGAATCAAGCAACGAAGTCTCACATGTTGGGATGGAAGAGGCCTTGAAGAAGCCTTGGTCCAGTCAAGCCCGGTGGACGGCTTGTGTTTCTTTCGCCGGCAATGCCGCGAAAGCCGCAGCGCAGCACGACGAATGCAGCTGAACGCAGCGACGAGGCACCTGAGGGGGGGTGAGAGAGTGGTGCGCGCTTTCAACTTCCAGGGTTGGAAAGAGATGGGTCACAAAATTAGGCACTCAGCAGGCAGGGCCGGACATCGATACTAGCGGTAGAGAGCATCATGCAAGGACATCCTTCGCCAGCGCCGGCGGCATCATGGCATTTAAAGCTCGTTTTAGAGGTCAGTACGCGCGTGTAGGTCTGAGGTGTCGCAGAGAATCCAGCTTAGGATCGAGGCTGTGCAGACTGCAGATTTTATTATGCTTTTACTCTCCTGGCATCTTTGGCTTTTGGCACTGATTTGGTTGGTGGCTTTCGCCGAGCTTGCTACTGTCAAGCAGAGCTGGTATGCTGGCTTAGAGAGCAGCCCTGTCGTCCTCTTTAGCTGCGGACAACTTTGCGGCTCCCTCTCCAGGTAGGCCGTCTGAGCCAGTAGAAAAACAAGCTGCGCGTCACCAGCGTCCCTGATAATTTTCCGAAGCAGATTGACGCCAAATGGCGAGTGGCCTGCCTGGCGGAAGCCCTGGTACCTGGCATGGGTCGTGGTGCTGGGCGTCATGGCCGTCAGCTGCGTGCAGGTGTCGATAGTTTCCACACGCAGTCGCAAGTTTGCCTCTGATTGCCCTGGCTCGTGAACCTTGTTGGATCATGTTGGATGGAAGCATCTCAAGCACCGAAGCAGCTGATAACCTCGAAAAACCTTGCATGCAGAACTCCGCGCTTGTGGCGGGCGGACTTTGTGGGCTGCTGGCTGCAGCGATGGCCTGGGCCTGTCCTGCAGGGGCAGGATCTGCCCAGCAACCCAAGGCACGCCAAGTGGCAAGCGATCCGTAAATTAATTAGTCCAGCGGAGCTGCCACTGGAGGCGCCCGATGCTTCCCTCGGACGCGGGCTCGTCATGATAGACGGGATGACTGGTCTTTTGCTGGCTGCGCGGCAGCTAAGCACTGCAGCTCGGTTGAATGCCGACGTACTCATGTGCGACATGGACCAGCCTAGAGCTATGTCATGACATCCTATCCGTCGGCGACCCCTGAACTCGGACCTCAACTTCCACAGCCTGCAGCATTAGTTGCTCGGCGCTCTGGGGTACCGTCCTTTCCGCCGGCTAAGGGCGAAGAGGCAAGGATTAAGACCCGACCAGGAAGTTGGACAAACCACATTGTGCTTGAAGCTCTTGTACGGCTGTGTCTTGCTGCCAAAGAGTTTGTATGTGCTTCAACATTGCCGCCTTTGTAGCAAGGTGCTATGGCAATCTGGGCTGGAGGTGCTGGCGGCTTCCATCACGGCATTGCGCTGGAGCTGCACATAGCTGCACCGATCAGCCCAAACCCCCAGCTGCAGAACTTAAGCCACCAGATTTTCCCGCTTTCGACATTGCACTTGGTCTCGCGTAGATGTCAAGTCACTATATCGCAGTCTTTTGCCCGAGCTTGGTAGAGGATTTTGGCTTGATGTTCTTCACCTTCTGGACGTCTCGAGGGTTGTCACTAACTAGAGGACAATCTTTTCAGTACCGGCTCGAAAGTGGCTCGAATATTGTCGCATCTCTACATTCTACACGTGACTGTCTCTAGTGGGCCTGCACCTTGCCAAAGCCAGTCATAGGACACCGCGTCACCACGTCTCAGGTTTGGAGTGATGCTTCGACTTCCGCAGTGGCAGAACTCGATGCGTCTTTCCCGAGGCCGTTGCTGATGTTTTCAGTGGCGCTGATGTTCTCGTCTTCTGACAGTTCTTCGCTGCGACTGGGCGCAAAGGTATGTAGAACGCGGGAAGTTCATGACACATGGAGGATGTACTTCGATTTGCTAGTCCTGCCCCCGAAACTCCCGAGGCTGGTGTCTGTACCGTCGGCCATGTCGCACCTGGCAGCAGCAGCCGCCTATTCTGTGCCTGGAATGGAATCAAACATGAATGTTTGTGGTGTCGCACGACTCACCTGGTGATCATGACGGCGGACGCCGGCAGAGCTGCAGCTGAGGTATTCTCCATGAACGATTGGGCAGCCGTGGCCATTCTCACGCTTGCCTTGATGGCTCATTTGACCCTGTACTTGCCATTGCCACTCAATGATCCTGAGCCTTTGGCTGCGCAGAGCATGCAATAGCAGTTCAAGAAGCTCCAGACAACTCAAGACTGCTTGCATGGAGAGCAGAAATCCTTGCCCGAGTTTCCAACCTGGATCTGACTTGCTACTACGGGCTGCAGTCAGGAGAGCAACCCCTTCTACACGTCTCTGCGACGGGTGCGACATCAATTTGCAGCTCCTCTAAGATGGCTTTCCAGTTGCACGGCCATGTAGATGAGTGATGCATCACGCCACTTTCCCAGATGCGCTTTCTGGCACAACCCGTCTCTGGTTTCGGCCGTGGCCTTAGGAACTCAAACGTGTCACCGATGGGTTGGTGCTTACCAGGTAACTGTAACAGGTTCGGCAGAGTCAGGTGGGCCTCAGACAAACCACAGACCCAGCCCATGATGTCATCGCACGGCAGTTCTCCGCAGGCGACGAAGGCTCCTGATGGTCGATTGTCGTCTTGCACGATGGATGGAGCGAGTTCTTCCAGACTCGCAGGTTGTTCCCGCGACGAATTGGTCTTGAGTTGCGGAAGCCGTGCTAAATCTGATTGCGAAAGCTTCGCTTAGCTTTGATGAGTCATGATGGCACCTAGGAGGAAGATTAACAGATGAGCATGTGACACAAGCATGACGTCCGGAAAGATCCTTCGCTCATGCTCGAAGTCTGCCACGGTCGCTGTGCAGAAGGCTTTGAGTCCAGTTAAAATCCAGAGCCGCAGTGGTTACAGATCGGTACGAATTCTGGGTCCTGACCACATCTGGCTCTCTTGGCTCAAAGAGTTGTGTCAAGTGCTCTCAATTGAATTCAGTGGCTGCAGGTTTTTTCTGAACCCTGGCAGGGTTTGATGGAAGCTGCATGCTCGCACATGGTGCAGCAGCGCTGTGGGTGTGTGAGTGTGGCTTTCGGAACCGCGACTCCAATGTCGTTTGTGGTGGTTTTGGCAAGCTCGGTTGCAAGAAGCCCCGGCCATCATCACAGCACGAGGACTTGCCACAACATCCGGGCCGGAATTTGCACGCAGATGCTGTGCTTACTGAGACGCCTGCCGGTCCAGCACTAGATGTGTCGCCACCAGATGATCTTGAGCTGAAGCTACTCAGCCTTTTACAGCGAGAGCCGGAGTCGCAGCCGCCTTTGCATGCGACAGACGCGACAGACACGAAAGACTCCCAGATTCTTGGAAACGCCGCAGTGCAATCGCTCCCCTCCCAAAGTACACCGGAGATGCTGGAATGGACGTGCCAATGTGGATTCCGGAATCGTGCATCGAACGCTGTTTGTGGGGGCACTGGACGTCTTGGTTGCGGCTTGCCGCGGCCGGGAAGCTTTCAAACACCCGGCGCTGGCTCCGGCTCGAGCCCTTCCCCGCAGCCCGCGAAGCCCGCGAAGCCCGCGAAGCTTCAAGTCGCTCCGGTTCACGCGGAAGCGACGGCCGAGGAGCCGGAGAAAGTCGCTGGCTCGGGAGCCTTCGTCAGCACTGAGTCAGCACTCCCCCTACAGTAGCGATTATAGTGTGGAGGCACCTGCCAGCTCGTCTTCTTCGTATGCTTAGGACCAGGAACTTAGAATATTCAAACATTTTAAGATCTTTGGCTGCAGTCGCTTATCTTCCGCATGCATGCCGGGAAGGATCGCAAGCCACTGCGACTGCGACTGTGCCCGGTGGAGCCTGGGTCTGCACCAGCAACTCTGCTGGACTGGAGTGCATTTCTTGGCCTCACTGCCGCTGAACTGTAGATGCGAGAGCTGCTAGATGCCAGCGCCTAGACGAAACCGATCGGTAGGAGCTCCTCACCCCTAAGAGTCTTTACAGCATCTCGGCACGGAGGCGCAACCCCACACACTGATATATTGTGCAGATTGCCCAAAACCTGAAATGTGCACTGTCCGCCCAATTTGAAGCTTAAGCTGCTGGATTGATTGTCACGCAAAGCACCCGAGCGTGCATGCTTTATTCTTCGCGGCTTGGCACATGGTCGTGCGCAACAGCAATAACTCTCAAATTGAAACACAGCCACGAGACCCAAGGCTCATAAAAAAAGCATGAGCCAAAATTCCAAAGGAATGGATCACACAGTTTTAGACGGGACACATCCTCACAGTTGGGAGCGGAACGTAGCATGGGACTGGAAGCACCTAGTACGACAGCCAGGCTTAGGAGTGAAAGGCACTAGCATAGCTTTGCAGTAGCCTTCTGCTTGGCCTGGCCCTGCAGCATCCTCAACCCATTCCTGAACTGAACCCGTGGAATCACAAGCCTCCGATCTTCTCGCCAGGTTGTGGATGGCGAAATCAGGCGCCGTCTCAGACACTTCGATGCTCCGGCATAGTCTTGATATGGCACAGATTCCGGTAGCTCAATGCAGGCCTGCAACGATGTGTGCGGTGGTGTTGGGCGCCTGGGGTGCAAAGCTCCGCGGAGTGGACGTGCAGAGGCCCGGACCTCCTCAAATTCTGCTCTCGCGTTGTGGATGGCTCACTTGCCCCAAATAGGCCCGTCGACTGGCATCGAACCATTCAGTAGTCTGATCTCGAAATGCAGTCGGCTGCAGTCGTTATGCTGCCGTGCTGTTCAAAGGAGCCCGACGTGATGCCAGTGCAGGAGAAATGGCGACTTGATGCATTTTCGTCGCCTTTTCTGTCGCAGGCAGTGAGTCCGGACATGTCCGTGTGGTGCTAGCGTCGTCGGCTTGCACGGTGCTCTGCTCGCCGTCCGCTTTTGTGGGAACATCTGTCATGTGCTCGTAAGTGGGCCCTGTAGATCTGCAGTCCGTTCCGGCGCATCCGCACAGCCCTTCTCGAATCCAAGCATGCACCACTCCGAAAATCCTCCTGTCCGGAGTCGCGTTCGAATCTGAGGCTCAATGCAACACAAAATCGTGCAGGAATCGATGTTGGAGGTTTAGCATATCAAAGGATAAGCATCTGACGAAAGACGGTCAGGTGTTAGACGCGCAGGACTTGACACTCCCCAAATCGAGAGAAGCCCGTTCAGAGAGTCATGGTTATGGTCTCGGGCGCTGTTGGGCCAGCTAGACACTGGAGCCTTACCGACCGTTCTATCCACGGTTTGCTGAATCTGGACGAAAAAGCTGCAGCAGCTAGGCATGCGTGGCCGGAGACACCCCAAACCGGGTTTGCGGCACCAGACCTGAGCAGGTTCTTTGTGCCTTCTGTGATGTGCCAGACCAGCACAACGAATCCGTAGGGTCCAGAGTTAAAAGAGCTCTCTCTCTCTCACGAGGTGACGAGGAGATGCTACGGTCGCTAGGGGTCTTAGAAACACACACAAGCTAACGCGGTCTGATCGCGCCGCACAGCGACCTTCTGCCTAAGTTTATGGCTCCTGGTGCGCCCAGAGTCCCACGACATCCCGCGAGTCAAGGACCTGCCAAGCTTGCGGAGCCGAGAACGAAGCGGACCAAATCACATCCTGTTCATCCTGCAGCATATCGCGGCGCCTCAATGGAGTGGTCAAATCAATAGGACTCCTCCGTACAGTCGTATCGGAACGTGCTGAAGATGCTGGCAGAACATGGCAGAACTGCTTGTCTGTGCATAGGAGTTGACTACGGGTTCATCTCCTGTCCACAGACAGCATCTGCTTTTGGACGTGATGTGCTGCGTGGTCGAATTCATGCGGTGCATACATGCTGAAACGATTCAGACTTCGCTTGGCCAATGTGTGAAGCACGCGTTTCTTCTTGGGCTGCCTTAGGTACGTCAGCAAGCAAGTCCTTGAAGCTGCTTTTCGCAAAGGCTGGAATTTTGCATTTTCGAGTCCATGCACTTCGTTAGCAGGTAGACTGTTGGCAATCCTGCTTGCAGGCAGAGGTGCCAGCAGTGGCATGTCAGTCTTCCACTGAGTCTCTCAAGAACTTTGCCTTATGTGCATGTCACGGGGGTCATGACTCATGACCTGCTTTCCCATCTGTCCTGTGTTTGAGGTGAGTTTCATCGTTTGGCTGAACGAAAGTGGGCAGCCAAATGCAAGTAAAGTGGTTCCTGTCGAGGGTGGCAGTGTGCACGAGGAGTCGTCCTGCAGAGTGCTGACAAGCCCCGCAACTGTCTTTCACGCGTCCTGTTTTCCAAAACAGGACACGGAGTTTCAAGGCACTGTGAAGTACATGTCAAAGGAGAAAGGCTACGGTTTCATCGAGTGCAAGGAGAGGGACAAGAAGCTTTCTGCACGCAAATGGGAGTTCGTGGCTCCGCCAATCCGCACTTTCTTTTGCAGAGTTGCCTCTTGTTTGCGTCAGCAGATCCTGAGAGTGAGTACTCGGCCAAGAGTGTGGTTAAAGAGTTTCAGTTGCATCTACTTGGAAGTCTCAAAGTGGCGGCGTGGCCTTCGTTGCTGGGATGACCCATCTTCAAGATTGAATTCGTGTCCATCAATATCAAAAGACTTGGTCAGACGGATTGCGGAACCGAACGCGACAGACAAGTCGCTGCACGATGTAAGGAGTAAGGAGGCAGATATTGGGAGATGTAGGGAGCGAGCTTGCATGGGGATTACATGCCGTCTGGCGATTCTTAAGCATGAACAGAACTCATGCTGTGGCCTGCGCGTGGCCCACTTCCGGGTTTATCTACTTGTAACGGATTCGGTGTAAACGTGCCTCGATGTGCCTCGTGCGATGCGAGGCAATGCCCGGCAGTGTGATTTCTCTCCTAAGCGTGTCCTTAAGGTGACGTGACTTATCTGACTTAGCCACCCCTTGGTTTGCTACCTTGATTGGCTGGCCGAAGCGATTATGCAGGAGACGTTCGATCTCTTTAGCTGCGATGTGTATGCTGACCTCCCAGTGCTGAACGACTGCTCGCTGGGTCAGCCCGTGAAATTCGGCATCAGGAGCCAAAGCTCGCATTGAATGTGAGTCTAAACATTATGCACACTTGGCTGCCAGTGGCATTCGCTGCAAGCCCGAAAGGTTGGGACAGATTGGCGGACGTCCGCAGGTTCGCAACCTTTCAACTGCTGGCCCGCCACCTGAGCACCTACCAGCCGGGCACTTAAACTAGCAACCCCGGACACTCATTGCCATGCCTGCTCTGCGAGTGTGTGAGTCGAAACTAGCAGCGAGTAGCTACGAGTGAAGCTGTCCGTATCCATCAGTCACCACGCAACCCTTTCCGTTTGCTGACCAAGATGCTAAGAAACACTGCAATCCCCCCAATGGTTGACAGCGCAGACTTGAAATCTGACATCCTATTGGTCCTAATACGGACTTCGTTCAAATTGACGGTTTTTGCATCCTTGTCTAAAACGGATCTGCTTCGAACTTGGAGAACCATGGCGCACTGCCATTTGTCCAAATGCGTGAGTCGAGAATGCGATCTCACACGATATCTGGTTTGAGGCAACCTGCAGTTCATTGGCACAGGAGGTGCTGTCCACTGCTTGGGCAGGGCCAGTTCTGCTGTTGGGCGAAGGCGTGGTGTGAGTTGGGCTGTGCTATGCTGTGCTGTGCCGTGTTTGTTAATGCGGGCATAGTGACAAGACCAGCCTCATGCAGCTTCGCAGGTGACTTCACGTTTGCCGCTGCTGCGGCCACCATCCACACGGAATCCAAACTGGATGCCACAGTAGTGTGGCTTTGCTGCACTTGATCGGTCAAGATGCCAGGCTCCTCGTCTCTGTCACTGTCAGGCTGGAGGAAGATCTGTGGCAGGAACGCTTCCCAAATCACCACAAGGTTGTGGATGCACTGAAGGAATTGGGACACAGCATTCGTTTCGGCGTGGACGCGAAACAGGCACGTGTGAGCAAGCAGACTCGTGTGCCCAGAACGGCTATTGAACGCTGGCACAGACTTGAACCACAACCCTCCCGGTCAGGTCGACTGCGCAAACTATTCCATGATCGTCTTCAACTTCCCAGCAGTTTCAGCACAAGAAGTGCCCCGCGATGATGGTGGAAAGCTGTCGGCGAGTGGAGAACTGGCGTTTGGGTTCCTGATGAATGCCAGGGCCAGCTGGGAAGAGCTTTTCTGCTGCGTGTTGATATTCTTCTGAACGGTTCGTGCTGACGCCGTGAGATGCTAGAAGCTGCAATCTCGATCCGCACTACCGACCATCATCGCAGCAGTGAAGGTGTAGCATAGTGCGTTGTCCTGAAAGTCATTGTGGCAGCTGCATTTTGGAGGTGGTCGCAGTCCGCTTCTGTTACTCTGGTAGTCCTTGAAACGGGTAACGAAGGACCCCTTAGATGATCTTCCACAGTTATCTTTTTGCACACTCGATTTCCCACAGCCAATCTTATTTTGGCAGAAGTGTTGCGACGCTATCACGCACGTTGGTCCAGCTCATAGTGCTGCTGACGAGACGTCTCAGTTGTGGACAAGCTCTGCACTCGCGAGAGAGATGTCTCCCTTTTGCATAGTACAAGCAAGGTAGTAGTAGTAGTAGTAGTAGTAGCAGCAGTAGTAGTAGTAGTAGTAGTAGTAATAATAGTAGTACTAGTAGCAGTAGTAGTCGTCGTCGTGCCAGTGGCATCATATGGTTCTTGTGGTGGTTTGTGAGGCATGTGGATAGTGCCAAGGAAACGTCCCACCAAGAAAGAACAAACCACATCACACAGGTGCATATCGAACAATTGCCAGCGACGCTGCACCAAAGATATTTTGCAGCTCAGTGTGTGATTTTCGAAGTGGGCAGCTCATGGCAAGGCACTGTCACCACTAATCATCTGCACGCTTGTGCTCCAAAGCAGAATCCGGAGAAAACTCTGTTAGCTGTGAAATCTCCACATCGCGAACTACAAGACCCATGGCTGAATTTCAGCCAACCATGTGCAACCACCCAAATCAGCAGCACCGGGCCACTTGCAGGAACGTTCTTGAACTAACGACTTTGTGTCGCCTCATTGGACGTTGACAGTTGCCACTCCCACTCCGTTTGCCAACGCAACGGGCGTTTAAAGCTGCTATTTCCCGCTGCAGAGGTTCGTGGATCACACTGCTTTGTCTTCCTAGTCATCCAGTCACCTAGTCTTCCCTTCCAGGCGCAAAAATGGAACTCATAACATACAGTTTGAAAGCTCTATATCACGATCCTCGGGAATTCCTTCGTCCAAGAGCATTGGGTGCCAAAAAATCGTCGTGATGTTACATGGAATGGCTGTACGAATTGCTGAATGCTGACTCCGGCGGTGGATGTTGCGTGCAAAAACACGCCTCTTACCGTTGCATACGGCCGACATTGGTTCTGTCCGAGCTACACGAACAGTTTTGTCGTCGGTTCGGATCGTTGGCAGGGTCGTGTGGAGGGGTGTGTGTTCTTCTTTTGGGGAGAGGGTGCCGCTCGGATGAGGGGAACCGGGAGGCGTGTAGATGTCGTGTTTGGCTGTGTGGTGGGCATGGAGGGCAGTACAAGCTATTGGGCAGGCTTCGGCAGACATTGGGACGCTGTTGGTGCTTGGTTTATGGGGCCGCTGTGATGGTGGTGCAGACGCCCGGCTGTATGGCCAGGCGCGCGGGAGTCCGGGGAAACCGGCACGAACATTCCGCAGTTCAGAAGTAAGACGAAGGTGATGGCATCGACCTTGATCTTTCTGTCTGCCTGCAGCGATTTAATGATGCTTGCCAGGACTGCCACGAGCTTGTGGCAGCAGCTTTGACAAGGGATGGTGCGAGGTGTTTGGAGGATGCATTGCCCGGAGACTTGCCGAGAACTGATGTTGCTTCATAAGTTTCTGCTCTGCAAGATCTACTTCTCCGGTGCCATTTTGGATTAGGGCTTTCGACCATGTTCCCTATGTTCCAGTTAGTCTGCCGCTCTGCGGAATGTCTTCCACAAGCTGAGGTGGCTATTCGCGTTCTGGCGTGTATGCTGATTACGGCTTCTATCACGCTTACGAGCAGGCTTGAGGGAATTGTTTGGGGGGTAGAGGCGGGTCTTCTTCCGCCCGTCGCACTTTCGGGCGTTTCAGGGCTAAATTTTCTCAAAGACGGCATGTATATCCAGCTTCAGCAACCCATGAATTGCCGGGGCAGCATCTCTATGGCGCAAACTAACGGATAACACACCATGAAAGCCTCTTTGGCAGCTTGAGGAGGGCTACTCCTTCCGCACCAACTGCATCGCTTCCTTTGAGCCGTGCCTTCAATTACGACAGCCTGCTCTGTTCGTGGATGTGTCGGGCATACATTTCTCAGTGAGGCTGGATGCTGCGCTTGGCATGCATGCATACGGGTCGGGCTAAGGAGAGCTCCCACAAGGAGTGGCACTTGCAGGCATGTTTCATTCTCCGGGTTGTGGCTGCTGCGGCGACAGATGTCGAAAAAGGTTTTGTGAGCCTGCCTTACATGGCTCGTGGTGGCGCTTGCAGCTGGAGATCTAGAGCTAAGGAGAAGCTCGTGGAAGAGACGCGTCTCCCCATTCGGCGAGGTGTCTCCGAAAGCGAGCTTGCAGCTGAGCGAGCTGAGTTGAAAAGTGGGAGTGAAGTGTTTTGTCCATTGGACAGCCCCTCTCAAGGCTAAAGCGAAGACCTCTGGGCGGCCCCAAAGACTGGGCCAAAGACGCCGGAAGCTCAAGGAGCCGTGGAAGTCCCGCTTGCGGTGAATGAATCTGGAAAGGCCGGTGCCGAAGATGGCGAAAGTGGGGAACTCGGAAAAGTCACAAGTCCGATGCTCAGCTTGGCGATATGGCGGACGGCCAGCGAGCGGTTGCATTCTGTGCGACCTAAGCTGAGGTTCTGAACCGGTCCAGTTGCGAAGTGCCCGCTACCAAACGGTGAGCACGTGAACATCTTCTTTACACTGCACCTTGCGCAGCTTTCTAGCTAGGTGGCAGCCAAAGATGTTGTCGATGCAACACCAGAGACGCAGTGGGCGGCTCACTCTGTCTCTGTTTGGCACCGTGTCCGGGCTCCGTACTTTGCCAGGCCCCCTTCCCGGACAGTTTCGCCAACACAACCTGCGCGCCGAACCCCAAAAGACTTTGATGATCTCAGATGAGCATCCATGAACTGGAAAGGGTCGTCTCTCCGCCAAGTGAGTCACGGGTGCATACATTTGTCTGAGCTGGGCTGACCGGCACGGGGCATCCTCAGGCCATCACGCGGTGAATGGAATTTGGTTTGTTGTGGTCTGCTTCATCATACTCGATGCCCTGAAACCTATCCTTGCCGCTTGATTGCAATCCGGCACAGCTTTTTTGTGTAATGCTGATAGATGCTGCACATGTCGGACAGACCGCCTTTCGTGGTATTGGTGGTGTCGCACACGTAGGACGCTTATAGGGACTGCGACTAAGCTCTCATGACGAATTCATCACACCTTTCCTGGGGGTTGGGCTCGATGTGCAAACGATCCACCGAGACCAACTCGAAACGTTTCTTGCAGCTATGCGAACTGCAGTGAGGGATCTCGAGACGAGCAGTTGGCAGAGCGGCTTGTGGCTTCCGTAATTACTGTAGGACCGGGGAGGAGTAACACACAGAAACACGCTCGGCATGGTGTCGCGAGCGCGATCGGCGGCGTTTCTCATTATTTAATGGTAGAGCGGCAGGATATGGAGAACGCCAAGCAGCCCGGAACAGGAGTGGATTCACCGAGTTGGGAATCATAAACAGCTTGATTTGATTTGGATTGCAAAGTGATTCCGGTGTCGCCGGCTGACAGTGGCTATGTGCACTGCAAAAAAACCCAAGGAACCCGCAGCCCAAACAAATAACTTGCACCAAAAAGACCCTCAATCGTGCCAGCGTAGGTACCCGAAACAGTGATATAGCCTCACCTATCACGGCGACCGCGACCACGACGTCCATGACCAGGACCAGCGGACCACCACCACGACCACTAGCCAAGCAAACCAGCAAGAGACCACCAGGAGATCACCGCCAAAGTGCGCCCCATCTATTGGGGGGATCAGAGGGTTGACCAACATGCTTGCCACCCTGTACTGGCGGGATGTGCTTCCATCGTGTGTAAGCCAATGGGACATGAGAGTCAACTGCGCACCGCCCATCACCGCGCTGCGGCGGGAGCCCGGAATAGTCCACGGGCGCTTCGCGGACCAATTCACTTTACGCCGAATGCGCGAGCCCGGCAGCCCGGCAGCCTGTACCACACTGTCACTGTTTGGGGACGCAGGAACCTAGCACGTCCGGCAAAACTTGCCAATGTTGGAAAAATCCCACACTAATCACTGGTCGAGTGTACTGACTGGTTTCAGGTGACTTGGGCGAACCAGTCTCATGCGGTGCTGCCGGCATGTTCTTGCGTTTGCACTACTATACAAGTATGCAGATGCATGCATCTTTGCATTCCAGGAGGGCGAGCCCGGATTCATTCGGGGGACTTTTGTGCTGGAAGAGACCTCAGATTGATGTGCCTCGTGCGGGGTACTACTGCATCTGCCCGAGTTGTCACACCACAGAAGGGCTCCTGCTCCGGGAGTGTACATGCCCGGCACGGCACCTTCGCACTTGAACTTGCCTTTGAATTTCACACTTCTCTAGGCGCCGCGCAGCAATTGGTCGTTTTGTATGTCTTTGTCTCCTAGATGCTCTTAGGTTCAGACAGCGCTCTCGCTGCTCGTGGGCCTCTGTATTGCGGTGCAGCCATCCCTTTCTTTGTCTCGACCTCATTTCAGGCGATGGGGAAAGAACGGGTCACATGGAAATGCGTCATGCCGACTGTTGACACTTGCTGCTGCGACCAAGCATTGTGAAGTCAAGGTGTCATATGTCGGCAGCATGAGTGCTCGTACGGCAGGCTTCATCCTTTCTGGCGCTCAAGGGTGCGAAGATGCCTGAGCATGAAGGCCAGTTTGCTGCGTGGCCTGCCCAGCTGAACTCAACAGACCTTCCGGCCTCCTAGGACGTCCAAGGGTTCCGAAAGCAGGTGACATCAAGCCCTCGCGTCTGACTCCTTTCTTCTCTCCCCTAGCAACAAGCCCAGCTGTTCTGTTGCTCCAGCACTTGCGGGTGCATCCGGGCGAAGGTTGTGGTGCGGCAGCTGCCCGCCATGTCCTTGGCGAGATGCAAGTGTCGGAATTGCTCCACGACGGCCGCAGCGCTCACGTTTTTGATTTGCCAGGTGTCGGTTTGCCTCTGCTTGAGCAAACTGCTGCTAGTTTATGCGCTCGGTCGCCTAGATGCAGGCTGGGACGCCAGGCTTGCTCGCTAGAGAGTGACAGAAATACTGGGAACCCTGAGAGTAAATAAAGGGTGTCGCTCCGCCGCAGCATAGTTTCCTCGCAAACGCGCCATCGGCATCCAACAGTCCTTGCTGTTCGCACTAAGCCACTGGAAATGCAACAAGGCAAGCGTGAGTCACCGAACTTTGCCTTGCCTACCCAGAAGCAAGCGCCTGCGGCATGCTAGAATCAGCTGGAAGCCAAGGATTCAGTCATGCAGCCCTGTGATCCGTCATCCGCCTTCTTTGGCTTCATGGGCGTGACCTCGGCGTCTCCAGCCAAGAGCATGTTAACACAGGTTAAGCATCGCAAGTGGACATCTTGAGCTTTACCGGCTGTCCTACCACGATCAAGCCGAGGCTCGTTTTTGCCAACCTTGGCGTGCTTGGGCTCTACTTAGCTCATGTGTTTCATTTTTCTTGCTCTCTCTCTCTCTCTTTCGAGCACGGTCGGGGCATGCCGGTGACTCTGCCTGAGGCAGCTTACGGAACAGCGAAGTCAGGCGTGGGAATTGCATCGATGGGGGTTATGCGGCCTGACATGATCATGCGGCTTGGCCACATGTGGGCTTCAAGCATCGCAGACGGCGGTCTTGCCGATGGTGGCATGCTGCTATCCAGGAAGTCAATCATCCCAGTAGTCATGGCCGGAGTTCTGGGCATTTATGGCCTCATCACAGCTGTGGGGCGCTCGGTGTTCTAGAGATGACATGAGCCTAGTGTGCTTTTTGGCACTGTTGAACAGTCGTGCGTCTTCCGCCATTGCGGTGACACATGCTGCAGATAGATCTTCAATAGCAATTAATTTGGCGCATCGGCACAGGTTATCATCAACGGAAAGATGGATGCAGCTAATTACTCAGCCTATTCAGGCTCCTCGGCCTCAGCTACGCATTGCTTCACTAAACTGGCCACTAGAGCAGACAGGAAGAGCGCGACAATGCCCATGTGCATTGCGGTACTCAGCCCGAATTGCCAGAGCCAAGTCGCGGAAGCATGTTGCAGTGGAGGGAATGCCCAGGCTATGCACATCTCGGAGCTGGTCTGACTGTGGGCATGAGTCGCATGGCAGCAAGAGCAACGTTGTGGTACGAGGTGGTCGGGTCAGAGCTGACTGCCGACTACCACCCTGCACTTCAGCTCCCCCTCGCACGCTGGGATGTGGTAGGAAAGACAAAACTGAATGCATGAGTTTACATCGAACCATCTGGGCTTGGGTCCCATAGCCTCCCGAGCGAGCAGATGTCACGAGGCTCTTTGGCTGCCGGCTTGGCCATTGGTATCGTTGGAGATGCGGGCGTGACTCGGACAAAGAGCTGGTCACTTTCCAACGTGCACATGGGGTCTCCCGCGGCTCGTGCTTGAGCGAAGCTTCTACAAACCGCTGTCGTCAGTCGTGGTGAAGATGAGGACGGTAAAACAACAAGATCTGATCCGAAAGGTTCTAAGCCTTTTCCAAGTTGGTAAAACTCACAAGCACATGCTAGCATCAGATTCGCTGAGGTCCGCGCGAATGCCCAGCAGCCACGTTTGTTCGTGGGCATGCGTCTCGCTTCTTGAGTGGGTACGTACTGTACGTACTCTGTCTTTGACATAGAACGTGATCCGTAAGTTTGCTTCAATGCCTCTCCTCAGGATTCTCATCTTGATTTTTGCCGAAGCCTTGGGCCTCTACGGCCTCATTGTTGGCCTTGTCGCTCGACTGGTTATGAGCAAGCTCCGAAACTCAAGAGACGGATGCGGTCGTTTCCAATGGTCTTCACATGACCATCCCTTAAAGACTAGCGGAGCATGCTTTTTTTGGCAGGTAGTTGCATCCACAGCAGAAGGCAAAGGCAAGGGCCTGTGTGACCCAGCAGCAACTCAGCCACGGTCGCACTGTTTCCGTTGCCACAGATACATTGAGGAATTCTCGGTGCATGCTTGGAGCATGCAACATGTGTGAGTGATCTAGGACTGATGTTGGAAGTAGGCAGGTTGAAGCAGCACCTGGAAGTATGCGTTCGGCTTCGATGTGCTGCGATGTTTGTGCACGTCTCCAGGTTTCTTCTACAGATGTTTCGGATTTCTCGCACGAGCTCATGGAACAGATTCCCACCATTCCAACAAGAGTTGGTGGTGCAGTGTTGCATGCCGTCATGACAGCACAAGCCAGTTGATGCACACGGCGCTCGCCTTGTTTATGAGTTGAGGAAGTTGTTGAGGAAATGGATCGCAGTTGCTGTGTTTATCTGCCTCTTGGCACCGACGCAACGTGTCGAAGATAACTCTCTGAAGATGCATCGAGACAGGATCTTGGGGTCTCACAATTCGAGGACCGTTACAGTTTCGTGCATGTACAGAGCACAGTCGTCCTGGCAAGCAAGAAACGATTCATGCATGTGTCTCAGTGTTTACATGCTCCACATTCCCAAACGTCCGCCGAAATTTTGATACTTTTCTAAGAGAAATGGGTCGGAGCAAATCTCATCTTTGAAAGAAGTCGCCCGACTTGGCGTTTATCCTGAACAGGGTCTGAAATCGCAGCAGGATGCGCAGGTAGTGAGAGCGTAGCGCTGCATGCAGGCTGTCAGTTCAATGCTCCGGCCGTGTCACTTTGCAGGCACGCCGTATGCCTGAAGCATCTGGGCAGCTTGCGCTGCTTGTTGCTGAGTGGTGGTGCTCGCTGCAGCCGCATCGTGAGGGACCGGTAGGTTGAGGACCGGTAGTGCTTACAATGCGAGGTCTGATTGCACCACTTTGGTGGGCAGTGTCACGCAAACACTGGAAGAAATCAGCAAGAGCCTGGCGAGGTACAGATCAAGGCTCGCCAAAAAAGGCAGCACGTTGTGTACGCACGGGTGAGCCAAAGACTGGTCCTGTAACATATTGTCATGCATTGTCATTTCCTCAAGATAGTTGTTGTGCTAAGGATAGTCGCTTCGCGACATTTTGTTCCCCGTGCTCGCGGCGATGTGTTGTTGTCATTTCGCACCAGAAACGGGGCGAAAGCGGTCTGAGTGCATCCGTCACGAAGAAAATTGCATCGTGGCATCCCCTGCCCGAAGTCATGGTGCTCTGTAAACACTATCAGCACACTCCAAGGGACATGGAAGATGTTCACTGCCTCGATGCAGGCACTGTGCGCGTGTTTGGGCAAGCCAGCTTGCCTTTGGACCTCATCTCAGCCTAACTGGGTGGGTCGAATACTCTCAGGCGAGTCAGCGGAACTTCAACTTTGCCTAACTTAAAAAACCATGGTCGTAACCATGGTACTTGCATCTCTTCGACTCTGTTTTTCAGCAAACCACGAAGCATCTGGGGGAACACGGCCAGAAAACATTCGAGGAACGACAGTCGGCTTGGCACCTGCAAGCGACACAACTTGGCACCTGCAAGCAAGAAAGAAGCCATTTACAAATGATAGAGAATTCACGGAGCAGCAGGTCGCAGAGTATGCGCCGTTTCAACCGGTTTGGAGCGATTTGCACCAATGATGTCTCAAGGTGGGTGTCAGCAGCGCCTTATTCTTCAACAGGAGGCAGGGTTGCATGCAGTCTCCTGTGCACACGGGAAGTGCGCTTTGCAAACAGCCGGAGGTGAGATCTTTGTCCAAGTTCCCAAATCCGGCTCTGAACGTTTGGGCTGTCGAGCAGGTACTCCTTGCAGCAGTGGTGCAGCTTGATGGTCGTCCGGCTCGGGTTGAACTTTGCTGACCATTCAACGCAGTTTCGTCTCTTGACAGGCATCGTCGTGCATCCGCCAAAGCAGTTGCATGTGCGCAGCATGTTGAATCACCTGATGTTGCCGTGGACGGGCATCACTTGGCCACACAACTGAAGATGCAGACAATCGGCTCATCACAGATCAGACCTTGACGCCAGGCTGTGTCCCTTGGTCTCATCACGTTCTACTACGTCAAGGCCAAGGCTTCGTCCCAGCTGCTCTGCATGCTACGCCATGTTTGCGGCCCGCATAACTGCATTGACGTGACATGTTAGTCTGTTGCAGTAAGCCGAAGGGGCGCTCCATCGCACGTTGGGTTGCAGCCGTTGCAGCTTGCTGACCACTGCCAAGCTTGTGGTGGTGCTTTTCACGAGCCTGCCTTTCGTCTTTTGCGGCGACCGATACTCCGACAACACGAAGGGTTTGAAGATTAGGCCCAGTCTGTCTTATGCGACATTGTTTTTTTACAGTTTCCGCCGCTTGCCATGCTGGAGAGCGCAACGCGTCTGTCACAGCTCTTCTTCGAGGAAGGCCTCCAGACTCTAACCTGTTAGCAAGACTTGTTGCATTTAGTCGCGTTTGGTCTCCCAAGGACAGTTTGGAATCCATTTGGAAGTCAGAAGTAGTTCAGACAACGGTCGTTGGATCGAGAGAGCCTGGGCATGACGCGCAATTCGATAATCCTTGCTGCTTTGCGAGGCAAGCTGGATGTGAGCAATCGCCTCGATGATGGGTTTCGAGAAGCAGGTGCTGACATGGACCCGCTGGCACCTGGCGTTGAATGCTTGCTCGTAGACAGGAATGAGGACGAGCCTTTGCAGCAATTTGTCGAGCGGTGCCGGAAGAAGCTGCGGAAGGCAAAGGACGAGGCGGCGCAAGCTATGGTACTGGCACTGCTGGTGTCAGATGCATGCGGTCGATCGGGTGTCCATGCATCAGACTTGCAGGCCAGGCATGCGGAGCTAGTCGCCGGCCAGCGGCGGACAACTGGTGTGGTGTTGCTGGGAGATCTTCTAGGCGAAGTCGCAGCTTCCCCAGCTCGGAATTCTCGAAGCCGCTCTGGTGCCGCATTGAGTGAGCGGGCCATTCTCTTCAAAGCAGTAGCAGATTGGCTGGGTACTTTCTGTTGCACCCTGCAACGTCAGCAGAACGCATTGTTCAACGTGGTCAACATCAGTCAGATGCCCTGCGTCGTCGACCTGCTATTTGACCCTGGTGCCCTCTATGAAGATCCTTCCGCACGGGCTCACGAGCATCTTGCACTGGAGGGGGGGAATTAGTAAGAATTAATTCAATCTTGGATGGCTGCCAGCGTGTCCTCCCCCAACCGCCGATGCGAGGAGCCGCTGTAACATTATGTAGCTTCGGGGCTTGTAGACTCCGGTCCTGCATTCGATATGTGTCGGAGATAACTGCTCTTCTCAAGGTACCGAAGGCTTCTGGCCAGCGTGTGCCACGGGCGATCTCTGAAGGAGGCCACGCCACCATCTTCAAGGACGGACCTCAGCGGCCAGATGCCACGGCCTCCCTGGCACGTAGAACCATGGGAACTCGAAATCTCACGTGGTGACCGCCCCCTGCAGGCAGACTTTAGCGTGTTTTGTGCTTGCATGCCGTGGTGTCCAGGTGTATTTAATGTCAGGTGAAGCAAGAGCAAGCTAGTTCGGTTTCTACACAGTGGTCCGCATATTCGCATACAAACTCGCGGAACAGCAATGAGGAATTGGCAGGGGTGGCTTCGGAGAGGTATTTCATGGGCGATGGGCTGGCGTGCGGGTTGCAGTGAAAGAGATGAAGGATAGCTCACGTGCTCCGAGTGATGCTGATGTTGTGGAGTTTTTGCTCGAGATTGCGATGCTGTCTCAACTGAACCACCCGAACATCGTCCGCTTTTGGCGAGGCTCGACAGAGATGCATTCGGGTAGCCGGAGCTTGCTGATGGTCACGGAGTACATCAAGCAAGGAGGTCTCTCCAGGCTCTTGCACGGGCATGGAGGGCCGGCACTGCCAGATCCGCTGACGCTGGGGCAGTCTCTGTCTTTTGCTTTGGATGTTGCCCGTGGCGTGCAGTACCTCCACGGCCAGCGCATTCTTCACTTGGATCTGAAAAGCCCGAACGTCTTGTGCGCTCCAGTCTGGACTGCGAAGTTATGTGACTTCGGTCTGGCGAAAATGCGAGGTGAGGCGACATACGTGCAATCGACGCTGCAGGGTGTCAGTCCGGTGTGGGCACCGCCCGAGATGTTCGATAGCAAGAGCGGAGGCTTAACGGAAAAGGCTGATGTCTACAGCTTTGCCGTGATTTTCTTCGAACTCTTGACGAAGCAAGTGCCTTTCGCAGAAGTAAGCTCTGCCAAGTTGCCAGCAGCCAAAGCCGCCGGCCAGCTCCCTCGCATCCCAAATTCAGTGCCGGCAGACTGTGCTGACTTAATTTTGCAGTGTTGTGCAGCAAATCTTTTGGGCCGGCCCTCGATGAGTGGGGCCGCAGCCAGGGTCAGGGAAATTGCGCAGTCGCACGAGATACAACTGGCAGAGGTCAAACCACCTGCTGCCTTGCTGCGGTTCGATGATGACCAAGAGAGAAGGGTGCAAGAAGCTGAAGATGCTGCAGCCCAAACTTTGATCGATGTTGACAAGCAGCGGGCCCATCTTCGCATGGAGCTCTCAGAACTACACAGACAGATTGAAATCGCCAGGAAGCGCCAGGCTACAGAAGCTGCAGAGGCCCCGAAGAACTCCGCCAGTCCGAGCCGAGAGGATGCAGCTGGCACTGGCACCACTCCGGATGACTCCTGGTGCGATCCGTTTGTGCAAGAAGTCGCTGGCGCCAAATTTCGCTGCGCTCTCTGCTCCAAGTTGTTCCGTGGACCTGAGTTTGTCAAGAGGCATCTGGAAGCGAAGCACAGAGACGAGGCAAAGCGACTTATCGAGGACAAATATTTTGATTGCGACGTGTCTCGAGAGGATGCCTTGCCGGTACACCATGCAGTGGGAACTGCAGTCGGCAGAAAGGGCCTGGGCTGGGTTTCGCCATGACATGCCATGACCATCCATGACCATCATGGTGCCTCAACGGCATCACAGGGCATCGCAGCCATCCGTGACGCAGCCCCACGATCCTCGGCGGAGTGCGAAAGTGTGGAGATCACAGGCAATGCTGGAAGACTACTTCGACCTTTCTGTGACGACGGCGTGACGATACGCTTTCTTGAAAGTTTGCGAGGCAACTAGAAACACGAGAGGCCAACGGATGCTGGTACGATTGACAGCCTGGGAGCGTGGAAGTGAAATACCGATGTCGCAAGCTGCGGTGGACAAGGCCGCGAGCTGCGCAGGAAACAACTCCATGGCGAACGGATGCACGCTGCACCTTGAACGGAGACAAAGGTGCGCTGCGATAGTGGTAAAGATTGTCAACAAGCCCCCGTGCCGCGAGCGGTTCGTGATGTCATGGCTTCTGTGTGTGCACATCTAGGTGCAGAGCCATGCCCAAGTCGAATCAGCAGCTGGATGGTCGCGAAGGAGAACGGTACGCATTTACACATTACATACCGTATACATGTACTTTCAGTTGCCGTTCCAAGCAGTAGCAGAATAATTTTGTCAGAAGGGGGGAGGGGGGGGGGGCAGGGCGCTGCGAAATTGGAGTCAGGATTGAAGTGGTGGGCATTTTGCTGGTGTTGGGTTCGATATGCTTCAACTGCGGCACCCTTACGGCTGAGCTGCAGCAGATCCACTGAACGATCAAGCATTTCAACTGAGGCCTTGGAGCGCTGCTGGTCGAGCGTTTTCTGAAGGGCAGCGGAGAGCTGTATGAGCAGAAGGCTGCTTTCCATTCTCGCAAGTTCGTTGATGAAACACGATGCTGCAGTTGTTGGTGCCGTTGTTTGCAAAGTCATCAGGCGCAGCTTTTGCTTGGTGAAGTGCTGGTGAACTCCATTGTGGTGTTCGTGCTCTTCTCAGCTTCCGGCGGCACAGGGCGAGTGAGTTTCGTGCCTTGGATTCTTGAGGTGATTCCGCTTTTCATCTTCGATCAGGAGGCAAAGGGTCAAGTCTGGTGGATTTGTAATTCTTCAAACAGTCCGAAGCCAGGTCTACGCAACCATTTCTCCGTGGCATCGTGGATTCTTTGCCGGTTGGGATGGCCCTGGGCTGAGATAGGCTCGAGATGTTCGAGGCCGCTTCAGAGAACTCATCGCAAACTCCGGAAGACAGGCCGTGGGTGTCAACAGCAGGTTTTGCGAGCCTCAGGTCGAGTGCTTCTTTGTGCAGTTCTCTGGATTCCAGCTGGTTGGACAGCAACCATTCTGGTGAAGCCCGTGCCCTGGTGCCACCTTCGAAACACTTCGGACAGTTGTTTGTTTGAGGCGCTGTTCCAACCTGCTCAAGACCGTTGCCCAAGCATCCTCATCCGTAAATGCCTCAGATTCGTCAGGATTGGATTTTGGGCACGTTCAGGGTATGCCACTAGCAGTGCGGAATGGAATGTTTGCATAAGTGGGTCGGCTTGCCAAAGCAGAGCACTCGAGAAGTGACCAAGCCTTGAGATCCTGTTAACCTATGTCGACAAGGCTTTGCAAGTTGATGCGGATGTCGTGACTCTCCGGGCAAGAGCAGCTTCAGACGGTCGCAGGGGTTTGAAGTCTTCCCCAGGCGAAGGTCCCGCAACTAGCGGACTAGCGAGTCCCAACACGGTAGGAAGGAGCTTTTGCAACTGCTGATGCACGCGCATGCTGTCGGCGTTGTTCTGAACGTGACAGGTTCTGACCTATGTTTTCTCGGTGGTGCCATTGAGCCGTGGACCATCGACATGGCGGGATGGGATGAAACTGGTTTCCCAGCTTGTGCATTCAGAAACGTTCAGGATGTTTCGGACTTTGTGCTAGTTTGGCCGCGCATGCGGGCATTGTCCAACTCGTTTGTATAACTTTGTATAACTTCACTGATTTGGCTTCGGGCTACTGAGTTTGAGTTTCCTGCAATCTCCTGCATCCTGCTCAGTATTGCAAGCTGTCGCTAACATTTTTCAGCCGGCACCTCGACTCCTGAAATCATTCGCAAAAACGTGGTTATGCAAATACAACTGAGTGCTGTTGTCAGTGTATCTCGCCCCTGCTGAAGGGCACACATCGTGACGTGGCTGGGACCGCCTCTGACACCTGAGCCTGTGTCCTCTCCCGTTGCCGGAGGCTTAGCACAAGGTAGGCGTATGTACTGGCGAGTTCGTTCCTACATGACGTGAAGTCAATTTATGCGGGCCTCAGATCCAGCAGCTTGTCAGTCCCTTTGAACAAGAACATGCATGCGTCGTTGGGCTTCCACACGGCACCAAGGTCCAAAGTAGAAACATTAATCATGCACGTTGCATCATCTTGTGGCACACACCACCTGCGAACCGCGGTCGGGTTGACTTGAGGTCTTGCTGGCCATTAGCGTGATGCTTGCAGTTGGGAGCCAAGCATGTTTGCACTTCTGGCGTATCTATCTATGGGAGCATCAGCCTCCTGCACATCCTTGGTTGTAGGTTTCTCGTGGTTGGCAGGACGGGTTTATCAAAGGTCACCAACTGCAATAGATGGAGAGAGAGTGTCAGTGGGTTGTTGTTTGTTTTAGTTTCGGGGGGACATGGTACTTATTATGGCGAACCGTGAGAGGAGGATCAACAGCACATGCGATGCTGTGGGTTACTTGGGCTTGATTTGTCTAGTGCATGTGGTATTGCAGCCTTTCGGGGGAAGTAAAGCAAGGCAGGTGAAAACAAATTAGTGCAGGTGTCCATCTAAAAGCACAGTCAGGGGAACATCTGGCCGTTCGTTATGACAAGAAGTTAATATCCGCTTAACCAGTGTGAACCTGTGTGACGTTCTCACGGTCTCCTTGAAGCCCCAACACAAATTGGGGGGCCCAAGTGGCCGGGGGACCTGAACAATCCCTCATGCCCTGTGGAAGAAGAGTGAGAGTGAAGGAGAGAGATGGGTCAGACAAGCCAGTGGAGTCTGACGCCGTTGACCCGAAACCCCGACGTCGCTAGACAGGGCTGAGGGGGGTGAATCCAGATGGGAAGGGGGGAGAGCAAAAAGCTCGGGTCCGGCCTCCAGGTAAGGAAGGAAGGAATCAAGAAAGCAGAGCTTGCTCAGCGCCAAGGAGAGGGACAGTGCTGAACGCACAAGTCCGGCTCGGTCGGACTCATACCCCGGGGAAGGAAGGGCAAGGGGACGGAAGGGACACGAGGAAAGGGAGGAAGGAAAGGAAAATCAAGTGCACTCTATGGCACTGGCCTTCAACAGTTCAGTGAAGTTCAGTGCTGCTTCGAGAACATCCCTCGAAAAGCCTGAGCGACGAACTTGACACGTCCGTTATGGTTGTCAGAGAGATGCCATCGTCCCATTTGGAAGTCAGGTGCCTTGCAGGGGAAAAATAGCTCTGCGGAGCTGACCCAGTGGATCTTGCATCGAGCGTCTCACGCCTTCTATCTGTGACAATACAAAGTCACTGTTACCTTTCGCTAGGCGCTGAGCTTCGGTGCAGATCGGGCCGAACGCGACAACAGGCCAGGCTGGCACGGTACTCGGCTGTCACAAGCTCATCCAAAGATGGTGCTGCAGACAGGTCCCATTCTTCGACAAGAAAAACACTGCCAAGGCTGGGATCACTGGTTGGTTGGTACACGTACAGTCGAAACATGTCGTTGAACCAGATTGCACAAACTCCTCCGTCGCCATCCCGATTGGAGCTGTGCGACAGCATGAATCTTCACGAAGCCACGCGTCCTCCCGTCGCGAGCAGTGCCTCCCGAAGCCTTCGGAGCTTCAAATCAAGTGTTGCTCAAAGTTTTCTGAAGGCACAGTATTTCCTCAGAGGAACTGCCGGCAGAAACGGTCCACAAGCCGTTTAAGGGCCCTCGAAACAACCATTTATGGCAAGCCGCAACCCTTATGGACAGCGGACAAACGAAGTACAAGCCGGACGATTTTATGTGATTTTATTTGCATCTCCTGACGTCCACATGGATGCCGGTGTTTGTTCACCATTGTCAAACCTCAGTAAAAGCATCGTCAAACCCGCAGGCCATCCAGACCAAACCATGCCAGCCCACAAGAAGCATCGGAAACCGTTGCTAACCCCCACCTAAAGGCTAAAAATTCTAATCCCGTTATTTCATGACTTCTGACGCGAATTTCACTGGGAATCTCGAGGATCTGCTGGCACTCTTCCGGTTTACCTGGCATCGATTGATTGGCCTGCAGATTGCAGTTTTCCCATACAAACCGTTTTCCCAGCTTCATGTATCTAGCTTGTTCACAAGATCTCCTCAACTTGTTACCACTTTCCGGGGCGGGCATAGGTCAACAATTCCTCCGAAACCCCCAACCGAACTCTACAATCTTCATGGTCATTACGGATTTTCTGCAGGATCTCGCGTCTGCATAGCTTAAGGTTGAATTGAAAACGCAGCATCCACAGACACGTTCAAAGGGACTCCCAGTGTGAAGCTCCAAAATTTTCTTCGCCCGATCTCGGGCAGACACAGTAGTATGAAGCAACAAATACAAAAACAACGGGCGGCCATTGATCTTGTGAAGCCCTGCGACTCTGGAAGCCGTACCCCCACTCTCTGCATCAGCTGTACTCCGCATGCGTTAGCCAGTGCACAGACTACGCTACGTGCCTTGAGACTTTGAGCCTGTTTTTGAGTTCGTTGCATTGATGATTCCAATACACATGCGTCTATTCCAGGCATAGCAGCACGTTGGAGATGAAGCAGGTGGAGGTCCAACCGAAATAAATTGCTGACAGTGTGATTGTTTCAGCATGTTTCAGTAACTTGACATAGCCACAGACGTGCAGATTGCGCTTGATTTGGGGATGGGCATGGGTAGATGTCGCGTCTAGGGAGCCTGACAGGTGGACTGGAAGCTGGATCACGCGTACCAGATGCAGGCAGTGGGTGGGAGTCGGCATGTTGTGGACATTCTGCGGAGATTTGTGCCAGCGCATGTCACTAATCACGGCTGTCCTCAAGATGAGTTCCCATGTTGAGATGTGCTTAACATCGAGGTTTCCAGCCTCTGGTATGTTCAGTTTGCATCGGATATTAACAGGTGTTGCCTCAGAGTCGTCCGAGACAGGTGGCTCCACGCCAGCGATCAAGGCAAACCAGCATTGAGGATGGAGGAATGGAAACAGCCTCCTCCGCTGATAGTGTTCTACTCCCTGCGAAAGCCAGCTAATTTTGGGACGAGCAGGCGCTCAGCTTAACCTTTTACCTCAGCGGAATGTTCCTGTGGCCACGCGCTTGCCTTTGAGCCTTGGCATTCGCGGCAAAGAATCTCCGTGCATGTGATGAACTGGTTCATTGCTCTGTTGTTCGGGTGCATTGAAGCAACAGACTCTACGCCCAGTTTTCTGTGCACGGATACGCGTCAGCTGTGTGCTGCCGAGTTAGGGCGCGTTAGTTTTCTGTCTTGCTGTTGCAAGCAGTTTCCTCGAGTCAGGGGAAGGCTCCTGAACAACAGGGGGCCCCGCCCAAAGACTGACAGCCTCGTTTCAACTCATTGCAAAAGACTCCCCACGACACATGTCGGCTGCGGTTCGAGCAAGTTTGCGGATCAGCAATTCTGTTTGGCCGCCGCGCCGGGCTCAGTCCATGCTGAACGAGCAGCACTAACAGGGAGCCCTTGCAGACAGCAGCGTTTTTATCACATGGATGTTGAGTCCGGCGTTCGAGTACTGGCAGAGCGGCCTGCCGACGACTTCGAACCCACCGATGAGGAAGTGAAAAACTACGCAGAGTGGCTAGGGTTGGATCCCAAGGAAGACACGGACTTGATGTACCTGGCCAAAGAGGGATTGAAGGCCCCTCTGAAAGATGGCTGGAAGCCGTGCACCAACTCAGACAACGAGATTTTCTACTTCAACTTCATGACAGGTCAGACCTCTTGGACTCATCCAGCTGACGAGGCTTACAGGACCATGGTTCAGGAAAAGAAGCGGGCACGAGGACAAGCAGTGGGCGTGCCCGTTGCTTCTCGGCACAAGCTTCTCATGCCTTCTTCTTATTTCTTCTTAGTGGCAGCATGTCTAAAGCGCATCCTAAGATATTTTCCGCGATGCCGCTGTCCCAACAACCAATTCAGCCAGGTGCATGCTCCCTACAGTGGAGTCGGTCACATTCCTATAGAGGGGCAGGCTGCGGGCTTTTGTGGTCTCGCTCGGCGGATATTGTTTTGCTGCCGTCGGAGAGACGCACATCCTCATACACAGTGAGTGCCAATGAGTCACCACATTGAAGAGATGTGGCAGGGTTCGGGTTTGCACTTCCACCCACGCGATTTGCCATGGCGAGAAGCTACTGGTATTAAGAGCATGTTTACAGGAGATCCTGCTCGTGCTGCGAATCGTCGGGTGGGAGGGTGTTCACTCAGGTGTTTGTGCTGCACCATTTCTTTCTGTAGATTTTCTCGCTGAGCGACGGAAATTTTGTAAACGCATTTGCTGTAACTTCTCGAGAATCAGTGGCACCAGCATCAGTTTAAGCAGTCTTCACAAGCTATGTTGTGTTGTTACCATTCGGCTTGCGACGACGTGGCCAAGCCTCAGGGGTAGTTATGATCCGCATGTCAGCAGTCACTGCTTGCTGGCAGCCGAGTTGTTCAAAGACATTCCGTGTGCAATGGCCAAATTGCAAAGCAAGCAGCTTGCAAAAATGACAGCCATTCGTTGCGGTGGGGTTGCATATCTCCACATCATGACTTGGCTGAGTGCAGCCTTGCTGCACAGACAACACCCATCGGAGCTGTCGTCTGCCTGACATTGCCAGGTTCAAGGAGTCGACGTGGCACAGGTTCAACATATCCTGCAAACTGGGAACGCAGCCAGCAACAGCCTCGCCATCAAGCTCTGAGCAAACACCTCCATAATTACTTCAGAAGGCATATCAGGCAGCGTCGACAGAATGGTTAACGGAGTGGGGACCTCAGCGGCCTACAACGTTGTGGCCAACTTTTGGGCACACAGAGGGACTGCAGATCATCTTATTCGCACTTATTCGGCCCAGATCGTTTCGCTGTTCATCCTCAACCGTGCAGTCCTTAGTGGCCTCAGTGGCATTGTCCAATGCATCAGGAATATTCGAGACTCTTTAGCGACTCAGGTAACGGATCCCTCATTTACAGTCATGAGAGAGAGGCCTGGCCTTGCCGAGTCGGGGACATGACAGATCAACGTTCCAACCGGTCTTGCGTTCTGCGTCCTGGTTATAAGCTGATGCAGGGTGCCGCTTCACTGTCGTCCAATGACAAGATCCGCCTGTCATCTACGTTTCATGGTCCAGAGCTCAGTTTCGCTTCGTCGTAGTCCTGGCAGTTTGAATTGGAAATCCTTCGATCAAAGCCTGAGCCTGCATTGAATCTCATTCAAAAGCAGAAGACTTTGTTTGACGCATGACTTGCTGATTATTCACCTAACGGGCAGGCTTGCCTTCACACCCAGGTTCAACCAGCTTTGGCTTTAAGGCGTGTGCTGATGCAAATCAACTGTATCAGAAGAAGTCCCCAGGTCAGTTCGAAGATGTACGGGGACAAGAGGACTCTATCTGCAATCTGAGGCATCAGCGCTATTGCAGCGCAGATATCACCTGTGAAGCGAAGTGCAGGCCGACGGGCTGTACAGAGCTTGCTCTTGCTAGCAAAGGGTCACAAGGAGCATGCCATGTCGGAGCCTTTTTTCGACAGGACGCCTTGGCTTCCTGCAGCCAACTGGCATCAAGACCCTAGATGCTGACACGTTCCTCGTCTAAGAAGCCCAAGGAGCATGCATGCAGGGGATGGTTTTACTAAGCGAGCCAAGGTTTCGCCTGCAATGTTTCCACACGGCAACCGGCATGAAGATCTTCTGTGTCCTCCTCCCGCCGCGATTCCCAGTAAATCTAGAGAATCTTCAGCTTTACGAACTGTGATCATGACCGTGCCGCCAGGCCGTACTTTGAAGTCGACCCGTTGCTCCGGCAGGACCGCTTTCGCACCTGCAAATTTACTCGCGATTGTGTTCATGTCGGCACCCCTTTCACGATTATTCCCTTGAGCAACCTGTGCTGAGCTAGGTCTACGGCCTGTACAGCGACTATGTGTGCCTTGGCACTACTGTGCTCCGTAAGTTCATGGATAACGACCGCCCTGTACCAGTCGGTCAGCATCCAGCATCTCGCAATTCCTCCGCATGCTTGACAGTGTCTGGCTGCTTGTCACACTGCTGCATAGCTGAAGTCAGGTAAGACCGAGCAGTCGAAGAGGGTGCATGATGGGACTCGTAACCCCTGCATGCAGAGAAAGATCCTGGACCTTAAGAGAAAGATTCAGGACATGTACCAGGCATTTACCTGTTTGGCGATGCTGGATCTAACCAGCCATGTCGCTGAGCCAGCCCTTCAACATATGCATTCACCATGGTTGAAATCCTTTGCTGTCACCAAGGTTGAAAAATCCTTTCTATGAGCTGGACATGTGCTGGCCCTAGCTGCAAGGAAAACAATTTTCCTGAGGCGTACTGCGCGTTGTGCTCATGAGTGTGTGTGTGTGTATGTGTTTGTGTGTATGTGTGGATGCTTGAAATTTTCAGCGAGGCGGCTGATGCGGCTGCACTTCAGCATCTTGCTGCTCGCAGTCACCTGACTTTCTCAATCGTGCTAAGGCCCATTCGCTTCGAGCTGTTCGAGAAAGAGGTGCAGCGAGTGCTGGCTGAGTTCCAGCCCAGGCACGCTCTTGTCGATCGCTGTCAGTGCTTGTCATGATCATCGTTGCTCCCTGTTACTGTTGCGGCTCGTAGCCTTCGTTGAGTGCGAGAAGTTTGGCGAGGCGGGATTGAAGGAAGGCAGGGCTCGCTTGCTTTGGAAATATTTTTCAGTCCATGCCGCGGTAGCGGTTGGCCATGAAGCATCTGGGCGCAAGTCGTCCCCCTCCAAACAAAACATGAAATTGACTGGTTTGTTTGCAAGACATTGCTTTAGCTGTTGGAAGCCGCTTGATGGGATGTTTGCGGAGTCAGGTGACTGGCTGATTGTGAGCGAGAGCTTTGTGGACTTGGCCGCGAAGACGCAATTCCATCGTATGAAGCTTGAAGATTCGCTGGAATGCACAGGACGAAGGATTGGTGAGCCGGTCTTCCAAGATCAAGCGGTGAAGGTCGTCACTCTGGGACTCCCGCATCGGGGCTGGAGCTCCTATCCCAGTTTCCCCTCCGCCTTACGGGGCCAGGGAATGTTGCTGTGATTCAGAGAGCTGTCGGTACGTCTGGGACTCGCTGCCTCGATCTTGCAAGCAGAGAAAGTGCAGACCTTCTCGCTCGGGCTTTCCGTTCAACTGATGTTCCTTGTCGCCTTCCCGGCCCCGAGCATGATCTATACAGTACTCGAGTGCTTGCACTTCGTCGATCTACAAAGCATTTGGATGGTCGTGTTCTTCTCAGACTTGTTGAGAGTCTGCTTAGCCTGAACCAGGGTATGTTAGCTTGCGGCATATCTGGTGGCTCGCAAGCAACCGCAAACGAAGGGGTTCCGCGGGGAGAAGGCCCCATGGCCAAAGCAGGCGCGCTGCGCAGCTCCAGCATCGAAATGCAGCACCTGAGAGACCTCACGTTCTTCGTCGGTTTTGCCAGGACAGCGATGGGCGAGACGATGCGATCTTGGGAGGCCAAGAAGATGCGGGGTCCCGGCGCTCAGATTTCTCGTAACAAGCTGCAAAAGAATTCCGGCGCGGACTGACTTTCTGTTTTCAGGCGAGCCGGCAAAACACTGGAGCCCCAATCTCCAGACTAGCATGGATGGACATTCCGGAGGAGTTCGGCCAGAGCGGCCGGAGATGACGAGGAGTGAAGCCTGCAGTGCGGCTGGCTGCTGCCGTTATTTGCGGGGACAGCAGAGCCAGGGACCTCGTGCAAGGATCATCAGCTCCTCACGCGCAGGCCGGATGCACTGGCACCGAAACCAGTTCGCTTTGGCCTCAGAGGCTTGGATTCGCTTTCACTTTTACGGCTGAGCACAGGGATGTTCAGGCGAATGCAGGCACAACTGCCAGCAGAGGTGCTGGATGCTCGTTATTCCCTGACAGCTCTGGCGTTCGTTCAGGTGCCCTTGCCATGCCGGCCGCCGAAGCAACCTCAGCATACTCAGCTTAGCTCTACGACACTTTGTAGCGGGCTAGTTGGGGGGATTGACGCAGCCTGTGTGAGTCCACAGAGTTTCTGAGCATGTCGCATGGCTCATCGTCTTCCAGCATCTGAATGCATCTGCTGAGAGAATCCAGGAGTCTTGATCAACCGGAAGAGTTTATGCCGCCAGAGCATCGACAGCACCTGATATACCTGGCGTGGGCCTTTGGCATGACGTGATCAGATGAGAAACCCTGCCTGTGCAGTCGCTGAGTTTGAGGCGCTGTACAGAGACAAAGTGGACCAGCACCAAGCCGCGATGGCCAGGCCAAAGAGCCCAGAAGGGCGAGCCGACAGCTCAAGAAGCCCTGTGTGCGAGCGGAGGGAGGAGAGCGGGCCGAAAGCAGGCACTTACTAGCCTGTGACCTGTGATCAGATGGGGAGGGTACATCAGCAACAACTCCCACCCAGCATGGACTCAAACGTAATGCAGTTTGTGCATGGTTGTGCAGACGTGAACGGTTTTTGCGCAAAGGCTCGGACCCCATCGCCAGCTGAAGAGGTGCCCAACAACTCCTCGAGCGATGCAACGCGCTACGGACCAACATCGCTTTTGATCAGAGATGGATGAGCTCACCTCAGCCGAGTCTAAGCCGAACAACGCATCATTCATCATCCGTTTGGTGCCGAGTTTTGCGATCATGAAGCTTGTAGATGCACCACAACCATGCCATGCAGGCAGACGCTGACGTCCATCCGACCAACGGTTTCGCTGCCACCATCGGAGGAAGTGTCGCCATGCTCATGCTATCTTGTGCTTGGCATTGAGCTTGCCAACGCCTGTTCTTTACCAATCCAGTTTTTTCCGAAGCGCTGGTGACGCTACCACACAGTGTGTGCTTGTGCCCAAGTGTTCCTGTCTGGAAGAGAGTCACCGCCAGGCATGTTCGATGACTCTGGCAAGCCCAGCTTCGAGCAAAGGCCCTTCTCCGAAGATGATGTTTGAAGATCACAGCACCGACCAGACCTTTTGTTTATTGCTGGAAAGACACCAGACTGTTCATGTGCTGTCAAGCTCCTGAACGGGCATGTCTTGGCAGGCGGCCGCACACCGCAGCAGCGCATACTGCAACAGTACCAAGCCTGGTCAGCATTGGTGTTGCCTTTCGATCGAGCGTCGGTGCAACACAATAAGTTGGTTCAATCCGCTTGCAGCATCGTAGCTGCACATCGTAGTCGGGACGACGCGGATGGACTTGCCGTGGCATGCTGTGCTGCAGGTTAAAACGACTTCTTCAAGCGGTCTGGGTTACCTGGATGAACACACGGAGGCTTGGCGGGCCATGGTGGAGAGCCGTTGGGAGCGCCAAACTAACGAAGTTCAGCCTGCACCCGGCTCCCGCAATCGATACTCTTCAATACAGTTTTTCTGCTGGTGCTTTGGAGTTACAATCAAGCACTACCACTACCAAACACTTCAGTTGCACTAAAGCCTGCAGCTACTTCCACTTGACACAGAACCGTGTTCCAATCCGTTCTTGAGTGTTTCCGGGGTCGGAGACACAAGATAAGAATAAGAGAAGCACGCGAAGGCATCGACAGCAACAGTTGCTGTAACGGTATCAGCAGCAACAGCCAGAGCACCTTTTAACTGTGTTTTGCACTAGCCGTGTTGTTTGCTACAGTTCCGCTTCCTGTCGTGACATTATGCGTGATTCAGTGTCTTCGTGTCATTCTTGGACTTTTTTGTTTCCCAGAACACGGGAAGCTTCCAAGCCCCAACAAAGCTTCCCTGAACATTCCTTCTCTTTCTTTGAATTTCGTTTTGCTTAGAGCAGCCATTCTCCCTACAGCCATTTACACACTACCCCATCTCTCTTGGAGAAAGCCTGAGAGTCGGAGGGAAAATGGAGAGTAACAAGAAGCGCATATAACGCCGAAGCGAGTGCAAGATGTACTTGTTACTTGTTACTTGTAACTTGTAACGTCTGACTGGTATTGCACTGAAAGACAAAAGGCGCTCGCACCGTACATACTATGTTGCAATGCGTGACATCAGGTCGTACGTCCCAACATACAATGCATGCCATATGACAGTTTTACGTATCGCGGCGTGTCATGAACTCAACATAGCCCATGTGCAGAATGCAATTCAGTCACCTGCAATGACGGCTTCACGGTAGTTTAAGACTTTATACAACGCTTTCAGTTAGGAACAGACAAGGCGCGCTGAAGGGGCAAACCGTATTTTCGTTAAATGATTTTTGGGTTTGCTCATATTAAAGCTTTTAGCTAAGTGTGCAGGCAGGCGTTGGTTTTTCTGGTTTGCAAAACCCGGTACTTCATGGCAACCGTGTTTCACCAGGTTTCAGAGGCCCTACTTGAGGACCAAGTAGGTTGTGGGGTGTCTTGGTGTATAGCTTGATTGTCTTCGAGAAGGGCTGCTGTCATTCGGGCTCTTGATGATTGGTAGGTACTTATGGTTGTGCTTGACAGACAGACTAGCCCGCCTTGACAGCCTGGCTTAAGTCAAGGGCGAATCTGCCTTCGGGTTGCCGTATCTTTGGAGCTCTTGTATGTCTGCAGATCTTGCCCTGATTCGTCCGAGTGTGAGTGTCATTAGCTGGCAAATTTCAACGCTTTTCGATTATCTCGTGCCGTAAGCACCAAACCGTGAACGGGACGCAGGCATTTGGACGTATTTTTCAGGTTTGGGATCCACCAAACCATTTCAGGTACAATTCAAGCAGCCAATAAGTATCCCAAACATAAACCTCAGATGTTGTTGGTTAGGTTTCAGAAGCGTTTTCTCAATGATGTTTGACCAGAGTCGTTGATTTTTGCTTTAATTCGATATTTAGATTTTCTGACTTTCAACTTTTCGCTGTTTTTGAGTTTTCGTTTGATGAAATACTTCGACTTTGCGCACCTTTTCTTGATTCGATTTGTTGGTAGACTTTTGGTAGTTTCGGGTTTTCTGGTTTTTCGCGACAAATCTTTATCCAATACATTTTTGAGACTTGTTGCTTTGCCTTTTGGCATTCTCCACTTTTCCGCGTCCACAGCCATTAGCAAGCACAATGCTTAAAGTTCATCATATTTCATAACAACTCAGTCTAGTGTAAGATTTGAATAAGGTTTGAGTATATGGCGGGCTTCCAACACACACACACACACACGCACCCAGACTGGGGTACGCAAGTGCGATCTTGTCGCAGGACGCTTTGTACTCGTGCTCTCATGCACAGACAGTGGAGCACACTGAAGTTGAAGCAATTGGACTGTGATTGTGAAGGCATTGGTGCATTGGGTCTGTAATGCTTTAACTTAACGTATACTACAGTGCAGCACAGTGAAGCCTAGTCAAAGGCAGTAGTGGCGTTCCCACGTTGCAAGCAATAGCATACTGTAATATATATATATAATATTTATCATACAGTATCTGTATCCGAGTAGGACACAGTGAACCACTGGACAACACACGTAGTGCAGTCTTGTAAGAAAGTAGTGATTTGTCACTGCTCATCGTATTGTGTTGCATGATATATTATGCTGAAGTACAACAAGCTGTTGAGGAAATGACAGGTTCGTTAAGAAAGGAAGTGTGTAGTGAACACATTGTAGCAGACGATAGGAAGGCATAGAACGAGCAGACAGCATAACGTCAGTGGTGAGACAGGTTGCATCCGCTTCCAAGCACGGCGAGTGACAAAACTTACGATGCCGCAGACATGTGCGACGTGGTGCTTCAACGTTTTTGAATTAGGACAGACAATGTCTTGTGCG